GCCCGTGGGTGCTTCGCGAGGGCCCCCTTGCAGGACGCAAATCGAATGGCCGTCGGCCCATCCAGCCACCGTGCCTGGGCTGTGGGTATCAAGCCTACTGGATGTTCGTTGGGATATCGTGGGGAGGACTCGGGGGCCTCTTGGGGGCAGTCTGGAGGCCTTTCGGGGGCCATGTTGGGGCCGCTTGGGGCCTCTTTGTGCCTCTTGGGGCCTGTTGGGCACCTCCTGGGCGCCTGTTGGACACCTCTTGGGTGTTTTTCTGGGGCATCCTGAGGGCCCCTTGGGGCGGAAGGCTTGGATTTTCGGTTCGTGTTCCCTCTCGGGCTGCTTTGTAGGCCCCGTCGGGTGGTCTTGGGGGCATATTGGCCGCCCTGGAAGGTCAGAAAACCGAAGAAGCGAAAACGCCCAAATCTCTCGAAAACCGCAGGAACATCAATGATGTTTGCCCCTTTGTGGCGATTTTGGGAGGCCGCCTCTTGGAGGCATGTTGTGGCGTCTAGGAGGCGTTGGACCATCTTGAACTCTGAAGGAGGAAGGGCACAGGCGAAAGGTATCGAGCGTTTGTCCGCGGCCGCTTGGGCTCAAGCGACTGGCCGCCAATTCGACCGGGTCGCACCGCGGCCCGCTATACGTCATCGAGACAGAAAAGGTTCCACCCTTTACTCTTGACATGTTCCCTCGCCGCTCACGCGGCCACCTCCTACCTTTTGCCACTATCGCTAATACGGTAGAACAGGGTTGGACGTACACTACGCGTAAAGCGTAGTATCTGGTTGGGTCTCCCAAGTGGCTTTACACTCTTGAGGCCATCCTGGGCGTCTTGGAGCGATCGTTCGGCGACTCGTTCGGGGCCCTCATGGACGCATGGGAGGTTTCGGGCGGTCGCACTGGGGGGTCACAGCGCCCGCAGAAAACACTTCAGATCTCATGTGGGGCAGCCCAGAAGAGCTTGGGACACGATGGGTCCGGGCCCGTAGACACCGACAATTCTCGTTGCAGCAACAGCAGCAGCACAGCGTCTACCTCTCAGTGTTGCGTGAGCCCAAAGGCACTCCACTTCGTGCCAGAGGCACGGTAACGGATTTATTGCACCACGCGCTTGCAACACATATTGAAGGCACCACCTACGTTGATACATTTACGTTGCACGACATACAATGTCAGTTCGTCGAAACAAGGTCCAGTTCGAGGCCGGAATAGGCTTGTTGGGTCTTTAGGCTTGCATGCGTTATTTTTCCGTGTTGGTGGCGAGACCCTTCGGTGGGATTGAACGGGCGTCCCTTCCAGGTTCAAATGGCTTGGAAAATAAGATCGTCGTGTGTTTTATCTATCGTCCGCTATTTCAGCAACCCGATTGGGTCGTCTGAGAGCCATATTCGGGGGTCTCTTGGGCCGTTTTGGGGCGATGCAGGGGGCTTTTTGGGTTGTATTGGACGTTGTGATCGCAGGAGAGGCGAAGGTACTTACAATGCAAGTTTTCCCATGGAGATGATGCGATTTTTGGTATTGAGGTTTTTCGCTGCCCCCTTGGCCTGTTTTGGGGCCCTCTGTCCGTTTGTGGGCCCCGGAAACGGCAGGGCCGTTTTTCACCATTTCCACAAACATGTCCCGTGAAAATGAAAACGGCATAAAAACGGCGAGCGTAAACTGCAAAAAAACGGCTCCAGGATTGGAGCCGGAGCCGGAATCGGTAAAACAACGGCGACGGAACAGGTAACAAAAACGGCGTCGGAACCGGCAAAAACACAGCAAAACGGAACCGGTAAAAAACGGCCCTGTCGTTTCCAGGGCCCGCTAAGCTCTGTCCCCCCGTGGCGCGTTCGGGCCCTTCCGGGGGGACCCCCGCCCCCCTTCCGAATCGACCGCACCGGGCGTCCGGGGGAGGGGTTTGGGGCGGGGGAGGCAGGTCGCACGCCGATGAGCCCCAAGGGGTCGGCGAATATGTTGCACCGAGGGATCTACGCAGCAGCTATGCTCCACTGGAGAGGAGTCGGCTCTACCACCCCCGCGCCCGGAGCTCATCGCCCCCCTTCTAGTACTGCAGCGCACAGCTGGTGATGCTTGATCGTTGATGTGGCATGTGAATTCTGCACGCGTCGCGAAACCCCACCAGTCATGGTAATCTTCTGGCACTGCGCCCCATTGCCTCACACCGCCCTCTGGACTTTTCCTTGCGGGCCGCAAATCAAAAAAAGAAACCCCACCAGCCCGCCCGTAGCCCGGGTCGACCTTCGACGCCGCCGGCGCCTTTGCTTGCGGCTGCGACCAAAGACAAAGTAACCCCACCAGCCGCTGTGCTCGACGCTGCTCACCGTACTGCTTTTGTTTCCCTACTTGTGGCACGGCCTGCCCCTTCTCGACTCGCTTCGCGCGCCCGCGTACCCAAAAGTAACCCCACCAGCCCACCCAGAAGCGCTGCCCAGACGAGTTGCACTGATCAGGGATGTGGAGCAGATCGCAGTGGAACAAAGGGCTGGGTCAGACGTCGTGCCCGAAGAGGGGGAGGAGGAGGAGGAATCGGCGGAGGAGCAAGGGAGGAGGAGGAGGAGGAGGAGGAGGAGGAGGAGGAGGAGGAGGAGGAGGAGGAAGGAGAGGGGATGAGGAGGGATGAGGAAGGAGGAGGAACAGGCGCAAAGGAAGAGGAGGAGGAGGAGGAGGAGGAGGAGGAGGAGGAGGAGGAAGACGAGGAGGAGGATGAAAGAGGAGGAGGAGGAGGAGGAGGACGAGGACGAGGAGGAGGAGGAGGAGGGCGAGCAGAAAGACCAAAGGCATCTGGGATGCCTCTCGGAGTCCCTTCGGATGTGTTTCGAGAGATTTTTGGAGTCCCCTTGGGGCGTCTTGGGAGTCCCTTGGCAGTCCCGGGGGCCTCTTAGGGGTGTCTTGGGTGCCTCCGAGGGGGCTTCTGGGAGCCCCTTGGGGGTCTCGTGGGAGCCTCGTGGGAGCGCCTTGGGGGCCTCTTGGGGGGCCTCTTGGGGCCTCCTGGGCACCTCTCGGGGCCGTCTTTGGGTGCCCGTGGGAGCCTTGGGGGTCATCTTGGCGTCATCCGGGGTCGATCAAACGAGGGACTCCTGAGGTCCCACCAGGAGGTCAACATGTTGCCATAACCTTCGTCAAGTCAGTGAGTTTTGTCAGCTCGCCGAGGCCTCTTGGGGCGTCTTGGATGCCTCTGGGGGGGGGCCTCTTGGGGTGTCTTGGGGGTCTCTTGGGAGTTGCTTGGGGGCATCTTGGGGCCTCCTGAGCACCTCTTCACCCTTAGGAGCCTCGGGGGCAATGTTGGGACCATCATGGAGGACAATCAAAGGATGGTGGGCTCTTTAATCAGGGTTCCCCCCCATCCCTCCTGGCCAACACGTTGCCAAAACCCTGACAATAATCAATGATGTTGGCCACCTCGCCGAGGCCTCTTGGGGCGTCTTGTGTGCCTCTGGGGGTCCTGGGTTACATCATTGGTATTGACTTCCTCGCCGATGCCGTTTTGCACGCTCCAACCCCTCGCGGAAGCCCCCGTCCAGGTCCAGGGGGAGTGGGTAGGGGGGGAGTCAAGACACCCTCGCCGCCCGCAAGCTGTCCCGTTCACTCCCATCTGCCCTCCCGACACATAAGTAGCATCCGGGCCTCAGCATGTTCAGCGGTCGTCTGGATGGGCAGCTACTGGGAGCCAACGCAGACCCCATGTGCGCGATGGGGCGAGGTGCACCACGCGTGCCATGCGCTCCTGGGGCCCAGGCGTGCCAGGCACGCCTCGCGCGCCAGATGCGACGCGTGCGCCAGATGTGCCGCATGGTCCAGCCGCGTCAGGTGCGCCAGGTCGTGTGCCAGGTGCGCCCGCGCACGTGACAGCACAAATCGGGAAGCATGTCGGCCCCCACCATCGCTGTCGAAAACCAGTCCACAATCGCGGCGGGGAGGCAATCATGGTTTCTGGTGGGCTTGCACACAGCAGGCAATCCCCGCGTTCCTTGTCAAGGACCTATGGGCGGTGATCGCGTGGTGGCCGCGCACGGTCCAGATTTCGCCGCGAAATGCATGTTGCATTGTTTTCTGACTGGGATGGTGGCCTTGCGCAAAGCAGGCGATGTGAGGGCACCCCCGCCGTCCCGGTCAAAAAACAATACAAAGAGTTCGCGGGGCGTACGAGCATGACCCAAGATTTGGCTCCAAAATGTGCTTCGTACTGTGGTTTGACAGGGATGGGGGGAGTGTTGGCGTTGGTCCTGGTTGTCTGCCGGTCGCCTGGGGAGGGGGGTGTTTATCAACAGTGATAAGCCCTTCCCCGAAGGGGGATGGAAGAGGAAGCGCTCTAAACCACTCACGCCTTAAAGGGCTGGTGGGATTCATACCATCCTAGGCTAGCCAGTATCGACCCCCTTCAACCCCTGTCAAGGGATATTTTGTGCGCGGGCTCGTTTAGAGTTTGATGTTTGCACGAGCAGTGGAGTTGACAGATCATTGTTGGCCTCGTCACTGCCACCACACTGCACAATCTCTCTCGTGCTCCATGGATTGCACCGCGGAGACTGCACTCCACACGTTGCGTCACGCAGTTGGCACCGCACTGACCTTGCACCAAACTGGTTGCGGCCCGTCGGCTCCCCCCGCCCAGATTCAACAGCATGCTCCTCCTCCTCCTCCTCCTCCTCCTCCACCATGGAGCGCACAGCGGGGGCGCAAGCACGCACTGCCTGGGGCCTGGGCTGGGAAGTTACGTCTTGTGAGGCAGAGGTGCGCGCGGCGCGCGGCGCCCAGAGCGCGCCAGCGCCCCCTCTAAAGTGCGCGCACTGGCTTCGCGGATGCCTCCGGGTCCCCATCATTACCAGCCTCGAGCGTATCCCTATCCCTAAGATTGACACGCCAAAAGGCGATGACAATCTTAGGGGTTCGCCCTCAAAAAAGAAGGGAATCCCTAAGATTGGCATCGTGATGGAGGAGGTGCCCAGCATAGGGATAGGGATATGTTCCAGGCTGGTAACCATCATCTGCTCAGACTGGGGCCGCAGGCGATGGCGGAAAAGATCCGCCGCAGCGAGACGGAGAAGATGGAGCGGAAGCTGCAGGCGCCGGTGCCCACTCCCGCTGCTTGCGTTGCGGTTCGCCGTCCCGAGCCACAATGTGTGGAGGCAGGCAGTTGGAGGGTGAGCCGAGCGGAGAGGACGAAGGATGAGACGAGAGCACGATGGGACGAGAAGATAGGATGGAGAGGTAGGGGGAGGAACATATGCACACATGTGCATACAACAACCTATATAGATGTACAGATATACATACATACGCCTTACATACATTATGAAGATGAGCATTGTGAGGAGGAGGAGAGGAGGAGGAGGAGGAGGAGGAGGAGGAGGAGGAGGAGGAGGAGGAGGGGCAGTCGCCGGAGGGGGAGGTCGAGTGAGATTGCGAAATCTCTGGAGGGTGAGAAACATGGGAATGGGGGAGAAGCCCAAGAAGTTTGCAAGGATCTCCAGTGCTTAAGGTGGGGTTCCGCGTTCCCTCGACTTGGGTGGGTATGCGTGACACCATGTTGTGGCGAAGCGATAGCCAGGTATCATATACATTGCGGTGCCCACGACGCTTCCGTACCGCTCCAAGAGGGGGCGCGGCGCCCGACATGTCCTCCAGAGCCGCTGGATCTCAGAGGTTCCCGACTTGTCCCTCGTGTCCCACTGTGTCCCCGGCCCGGCCTCGTCTCGAGTGAGGTGCGAGGTCCCACCACCAGAGAGTGCCAGCATCGGACGTCTGGGGATCGGTCCTGGTGCCCATGGGCCCACCGACGGCGACTTGTCGGAGGCGCAGGCGTGTGCAGATTGGCTTCGCGGAGCAGCGGAGCCAGATCGAGAGGAAGCGCAGGAGGAAAGGAACGGCAGGCGAAAGGAAGGTCGCAGGGAAGGGACAGGAGGAGGAATGACGGAGGGAGGAGGAGGAGGAGAGGGGGAGGAAGATTGAAGGATGAGCTTACAGCCGATACGTATGAATGGATTTCCCATCGCACATATGCGTGGCACCTGCATGGCGTGCCACTTCTGTCAGATCCGCCCTCTTGTGCGTCTTGGTGGTAGTTCCCAGGTGCAGGGAGCACGCTGTTGTGCTGGTGAGTGCGTGCCACCTCTTTCCCCTACGCCACGCCAGCTGAGCTTGGTGTGGTCGGCACACGCCTGACTCCTTCTGCCCACAGTTCCCTAAACAGCCTGTCATTACGGGTCCCCTGTACAGTCAACCATGATACTAAGGATGGGACAATTTTCCAAGGCTACCCTTGCATCCTCGCCTCCTCGGTCCATCCTTTGCCGCTTTCGCTGGCCGCGCCCCGCTCGAAAAGCTTCGAAATGGGCGCCCAAGGCCCTTGCATCCTTACATATCGCGCATCCTTGCTATACTTATTGACTGCATCTCTTTCACAACCGGATGTGGGCGAATCCGTATCCGGAACGGGTGGCCCGTGGCCTCTCGCATGGTGTCCCGTACGGCCTCCAGGAATTGCGGCATCCCGTATGGTCTTATGTATGTTCTCCCCCGCATGGCCTCCCGCACGGCCTCTCGTGCGGTCGTTTGTCTGGTCTTTCGGATGTTCTCCCATGCGGTCTCACGTGGTCTCCGGGATGGTTTCCCGCACGGTCTCCCGTGCCTGGTGTTGCGTATGGTCGCCCGCATGGTCCCATTCGTGGTTTTGTTTTTTGCCTCCGGCATGGTCTCCTGTGTAGTTTCTTGCAGATTCTTCTGCATTCGCAGTTCGATTGCGCAGTTATGATCGCATTCGTTCTTTGCCACGTGTGTCTAAGTTAGGCGTCTCCTCCAGGTACAAATTTATATGAGTCGATTTGGTTGGATCGTTGGCATTCGCTGCAGCTGTGTCTCCTCAGCTTGCTTCAGACATGGCTGGTACAGTTTTGGCGTGCTCGATGTGAGATCTACCTGGAGATGCCGATGCTTGATGTGGCGGTGTACTTGTCTGTTCTACAGTTTGACATTCAGTTGTTTGAGGGAAAACCTCGCCAATGTGTCAGCGCCACCGAAAGGAGGCTAAGCTTAAGATCCGTTGCATTCAGAAAGGGCGCTGAAGTGGAGCGGGTCTTGAACACCATCTCCTTGTCCACCGCTTCGCGTTCCTTGTTCCTCATCGTTCCACTTCTATTCCCCTTTCTACCTCCTTCTTGAAGGTCTGTCTGGTGCTTCTTGATGGCCAGTTGGAAGCATCTCAGGGACTTGTGTGGGGTGCTTGGGGGCCACATCAGATTGAAAGGCTCCCAACGCCAGTTCGAGTTCCCCCTCTTTGGCCCCTCTTGAGCCGTCTTGAGGGCCTTCTTGAGGCCCTCTTGGGAACCTTTGGGGCTGTCTTGTGGCGATATTGGCGGCCTCGTGGGCTGCCGTAGTTTTTCAGAGGCCTGAAATGGCGAGCATGACAAGAATATTGAACATCCCTTGTCTGCGCCTCTTGATGGCCTCTTGCGCGTCCTCTTGGAGCCCTGTTGGGGCGCAGTGAGGGCCTCTTGGGCCGGCTTGGGGACAGACTGCGCTGTCTTGGAACCTCATTGGGCCGACTCCGGGCTCGCTGCGGCGTTATTGGATTGGCTTTGGCCGTCCTGCAGCCTCTGCGGTGCGTGGATTGGCTGGCTTGGAGTCGTCTAGAGTCCGAAAGGAGCGCAGCAATGCAACCTCAGGCAGGAGGGACAAAAGCACCGACACAATTCATCGTCGATTCCCGGGAGAAAATGCGAAACTGTGGGAAGTGGGGGGGGAAGACGAAAATCCAGAACATATGGAAAACAAGATGTGGGGAGTCCTGGGATTTGTGTGTACTTATTTGTGTGTTCCTGGGCCCCTTCATTCGGAGGAGGATGTTCGAGACCAGCGCGCCCTGATGGGGAGTGGGCCTCCGGCTCGCACCGGGCAGCAGAACATTCCAGCACGCCCCAGGTGTGCCAAAGCAAGGGCGCCCTCGAGGGCCCGAAGTTAACCCACTGCCCCCGATAATAAGTCATCCCCCCCCCTTTTCCCCCTCTTTTTTTTCCCGTGTCAGTAGGATTTAATTGTGGAGGGGGCGCCCTCGAGGTTCTTCGCGCTTCGCGGTTCGGCTCCGATTCCTCCTCATCCTCCTTTTCTTCCCTGGGAGGCGGCGCGAGAGCGCGAGGTTCGCATTCCGCGCTTTGCGCAGCGCGAAGCGCGAAGTTGGGAGCCTTCGCAGAGGATCAGAGGCGGATGTGTTGCTGGCTTTGGTCGTGGGCGGCGGGTTGAGCCAGTGACATTGTAGACCACGATTGGGAGCTATTAGTTTGGTGCCTCCACCACTCTGCAGGGCTTGCACGTGAAGGAGAGGGAGGCCGTGGACAAGTTGACAAGGCTGGTTTCAGCATCCATGCCACTTCCTGCCAGCCCGCACAGCAGATGCATGGGATAGTCATGCTATCGAACCTTGCCAGGAGGCTGCGTTTCATTCAGACCTGAAGTTGTGAAGCCTGTTGCGCATCATGATGATGCTGGACGACTTGCGCAAGCTGTTTGCACATTTGTGTTGCTCGCTCCGTCTCCCGATCTCTCTCCATTACCCCCCCTCCCGCTCGATCTTGCTCTCTCGCTTTCTCTTTCTCTTTCTCTCTCGTTCTCTCTTTCTCTCTCTGTCTCTCTGCTCTCTTTCTCTCTCTCTCTCTCCTTCTCTCTCCTCTCACACTCTGCTCTCGACCCTTCTCGAGGGGGAGAGGGGGAGGACGGGAGGAAGAGTGGGGGGAGTGGCGAAAGGGCGTGAAGAGGGCCGGGCGAGGAGGGGGAGGAGGGAGATCGAGAGGCGGGGAGGGCACCGGAGAGGCGCCAGAGCCCCCCCCGCAGCCTCGCCATCCCCCGATGGCTTCAGAGCTCGGGGCCCTGGCCCCCCGCGTTCCCCCCCCTGCCCCTGCGGCGCAGCCGTGCGAGCCTTGCCTGCGCTCCTCCTCCGATGCGATGTCGAAGGGCTGTCGGGGTCCCTTGCTGCACACTGCTCACGCAGGGGAGCCCTTCTGGCCTTGCAGCCGAAGTTGGACGGCCGCCCCCTCACGCGGATCGCCTCGCGCCTCGCCCTTAGGTCATCCCATCTCCTTCCCCCCCCTTCTCCCCCCCCAACAGGACCACGTAGCGTGATCGAACGACTTTGCAGGGAAGGGACGGGCGACGACGACGAACGCTGGTAATTACGACGACAGGAAAGACAAACGGGGGAGACGCACTGGCCCCGCCTCTTCCTACGCACTCTATGCGCTGTTGGTCTATGCGTGTGTCCCCCCGACGTTCACCATCATTGCACTAATTCGTCTTGTGCGCTCCGTCATGTGTCTGGTGCAGCCGCATTTTTCGAGGGGCTCCGAATTGATCGTCGCATACATGGCTCAAATTCCGCTGCCTGTCAGGCATATCATCGACCAGGTCTTCAGACCTGTGTATTACTCGATGAAGGACGATGAGGACGTTGAGGCGAAGAAGAACAAGATCTTGGCTCTGAAGAACATGTTCCGCCTCGAGCCCGTTTACAAGAGGCCAGCCACCAGTTGCCTTAAGTCGGGCCTGTCCCTCTACATGAGGAGTATCCAAAAATAATGCAACAATAGTCGGGGAATGATTTTTTATTTTATGTTTGGGCCATTTGGGAGTATGTTTTGAATATTTTTTAGTTTTTGTCCAGTCCCCCTGTAGGGGGACAGGCCCGACTTAACACTTGTCCGTCCATCATTCATCGATGCGATGCTCTTCCTTCCTCCTTCCCCCAACCAGTTTCAACAAACGTTCCTCCATCCAATCCACCCGGTCCTGCTATGGCTCTTGCTCCTCGTTCTTGCCCAGTGCTCCCGATAGTGATGACGCACGCGGCTCCCCGGCACGAGGGGCCGCTCCTGCACCCTGCGCTTGCCGCGTCCTGCTCCGGCTGCTGCCGCGACCACGTGTCCGTGATGAAGGGGAGACAGGCGGAGGAAGGAGAAGGGGAGGGAGGAGGGAGGAGGGGATGGCGCGAGGAGGGTGAATGAAGAACAAAGGGAAGGAGAATGAGGGGGATGATGAGGAGGAGGAGGAGGAGGAGGAGGAGGAAGAGGAGAGAGAGACGTCGACGACGAAAAGATGGCCGGACGGGCGAAGGAGGAAGCACGGAAGAGGAGAGGATGGTTCGAAGGTAGACAGAGGGGGTAGACAGAGGAGGAGTGAGGGGGGTGAGGAGAATAGATAAAAGAAGGGAGGAGGAGGACCAGTGGAAACCCAGGGCCCATCAAAATGTGGCAATGAACTTGCCCTCCAAATTCCCTCTTCACACGCCCCTGCAAGGATTCGGTTTGATTATGGGAAGTGCCGCGTTAGAAGACAACCGTCTGACAATCCGGACCTGTGCCAGACCATTATTCCTGCTACCGCAACGCAGCGAATGAACATCACTGTTGAGTCCCGCCAATCCTGAACCCTGCCAGAACATTCATGAGACGTCAACTCAGCGAATCAACGTGACTGCGGCCTGGCAGTCCTACATCGTGCCAGCACAATATTTGGGACGTCAACCATAAGAATCCTTGCAACAGTTGTAAACTCTTAATGCGAATGTGCGCGGAGCGTAGGCGGGAGAGACATTTTGAAAACCGCCCGCCCTCCATCCGTGAAACTCGTGCACTTGTTCCCCACCGGACAGGTTGGGGTCGTTAGATTGCGAAGGCCTTACGGCCGGTACCGCCGACCCTGAGAACGACGAAGATGAAAACGAGGGGGGATGTGGGAGGAGGTTGGTGGTGGATGAGGGAGGAGGAGGGGGGAGAAGGATGTGGAGGAGAAGCAAGAAGAGGAGAAGGAGGCAGAGGAGAGCAGGAGGAGGGGGAGCGTAGGGAGGGGGAGGAGGAGGAGGAGGAGGAGGAGGAGGAGGAGGGGGAGGAGGAGGAGGAGGAGGAGGAGGCTTTCTTGGGACAGCCTGGGGCTCTCTTGAGGCCGTCTTGGGCCGTCCAGGGCTCCTTTTGCGCCGTCTCGAGGCACTCTCGGAGGCCTCCTGGGCAATTTGAGGCTCTCCTGGGCTGTCTTGGAGCAGATTGGGGACCCCTTGGGAGCCTCTTGGGGCCTCTTGGAGCTTCTCCGGGGCCTATTGGAGGCCTCTTGGGGCTGAGAGCTCGAAATGTCCGTTCGGGTCCCCCGTTTGGGCACTCTCCTGGAGCCGTATTGGGGGCCTCTTGGGCCGTCTTGGAGGCGTCTTGGGCCGTCTTGGGGCCCTCTTCGGCCGTTAGGGGACCCTCTTGAGGGCCTCTTGGGCCGTCTCGGGGAGATTTTGGGGGCCTCTTGGGCCGTCTTGGCGCGTCGGGAAGCGGAAGAGGCAAGAACGCCAAAATCGTTCAAAAACGCACGGAAAATCTATGATTTTTGCCTCTTGGGGCTCTCGTGGGAAAGCTCCTGAAGGCCTCTTGGGGCGCTTTGCAGGCCTCCTGGGCTGTCTGAAGGCCGTCAAGGCGTCTTGGACAAATCGTTCGGCGATTCGGAGTTCTCTTGGACTGTCTGCGGGGCATATTGGAGCACTCTTGGCCCGTCTTGGGGCTTTTTTGGGGCCGGGGGACTCCCCGGGGGGGCGTCGTATCTGCCCCCCCCCCCCCCGAGACCTCCCTCCCGGACCCACCCCGGGACCCCCCCGGGACCTCCCCAGGGGACCCCCCTCCCCCCCCCCGGGCGGGGGAGGGATCGAAAGGAAGAGGTTTCCCTTCGACTCAATTACGACGTTGGTCAACTTCGCTTTGGCTGGCGCGCTGAGGAGGTCCCTGGGAAAGGGGGGAGCTTCGACGAGCCCAGGGAAATGGGGAGGCAGGGAAAGGAGACGACAGAGACGACGACCAACGGACAAGCCTTTCACACGCGCCGATAGGGTCGGCGGATTTTGAGAACAGACCTCCCAGCCACTCCCACCCTGCATACCGCGGCCGCCAGACCCCAAGTTGTCCCGAGTGTCCCGGTTATCCCGCCTCGCGCCCTCGACAAACACGACAGAACACACCCTGCATACCGCGGCCGCCAGACCCCAAGTTGTCCCGAGGGTCCCGGTCATCCCGCCTTGCGCCCTCGACAAACACGACAGAACACACCCTACATACCGTGGCCGCCAGACCCCAAGTTGTCCCGAGGGTCCTGGTTATCCCGCCTCGCGCCCTCGACAAACACGAGAGAACACACCCTGCATACCGCGGCCCCCAGATTCCAAGTTGTCCCGAGCGTCCCTTGTGTCCCGCCTCGCGCCCTCGACAAACGCGAGAGAACACACCCTGCATACCGCGGCCGCCAGACCCCAAGTTGTCCCGAGTGTCCCGGTTATCCCGCCTCGCGCCCTCGACAAACACGACAGAACACAATATGACACAACAGAACATGGCAGAACATAACATATCAATATCATCGCAATATAGAGGGCACCAGCATATCACATAACCGAGCGTAACATCACATAACACAACATATTATAACATAGCCGAGCATAACATGAGGCACAATGGCATAACATATCATAGTATGGCACAGCGTGGCCAAACATTTCATAAGACGACAGCAGGGCATAGCGGCGAACACGCCAGAACACAACATGTCACACCAGACGATAACATACCATAACACGAGCATGCCATAACATGGCATAGCATAACATAGCAACACGATGACAATAAAGAGCATGCTATAACATCACACACCACCTCATATCATAGCATGGTAGATCAGAAGGCGACGTTACGCAACATAACATAGCACGACCGATGACAACATAAGACACCTTGGCATAACATCCCATATCATTGCACGTCATTGCATACCATACCACAACACGACAGTATTGCATATCGCCACATACTAGCATAGCAGGTCACAGTACATTATATTGGTCCGAGCCGTCCACAACCACAACATCACATAGCATACCATATCATAGCATGACATAGCAGAAGACGACATAACATACCATAACACATCATAGCATAGCATAACATAACACACTATGACAGGACACATCATATCAGGACACAGCATCAAATACCAGATCATAGCAAGGCACCAGAGCATTGCGAAGCAGACTAGCAGAGCAGAGCGTACGATAGTGTACTCAGCTGAGCCGTCAACAGCATCACATAACAGAGCATACTACACCATCACATGACAGCCCGTCAAGCAATAGCATGGTGCCGCAACGCAGATCATACCAAAACATCTCCAACCATATGCGTGCCCTGCCTGTCTCTGGCTGGCAGACGCTCCTCTCGGACAGTGGGCCCCCCCTCCTCGCCACGGTGTGTTTTGGACTGCTCGACCAAGGAGTTGACCGCCTTCAACTGGGACCTCCTGGAGCCCCTTGAGCCCTCTGGGTCTAAAAAAAAAAAAAAACATCTCCAACCATATGGTGACAGATATGAGCCAACGTGCACCTATTGATGTCGGATGCCCACGTGCCAGGGGGGCTCCGCCCGGGGCCGCTGCGCGCCCCGCGCACGTTCGGGAGAGCGAAGAAGACGAGGGCGAGGGGGAGGGGCGCGATGCGCATGATGAGGGAAGGGGACGAATAACAGGGCGAGGAGGAGGGAACGGAGGAGGAGGAGGAGGAGGAGGAGGGGGAGGAACGAGGACGATGAGGAACAGGAGGAGGAAGGAGAGGTCCGCCTCACCTCTTTTTTCCTCCTCCTCCTCCTCGTCCTTCGTCGTCCGTCTCCTCCTCGTGGTGCTACTGCTGTTCCCCCTCTTCCTCTTACCGGAGGTTGATACTATCTCAGAGCAAGTTTTGGTGTATCGCAAAATGCGTTTTGGGTGTGGTTTTGTCCTCGTCAGGGGCCTTTGGGTTGTTAGAATTCGGAAAAACATCATCTTGCGACCTGGCCCGGCCGCGCTGGCCGACGCCGCTGGGCACTGCGCACATCCAGTAGGCGCGCGCACCGTTGGGACCAAACGCCGAAGGTTTCGGTGGGGATCGCTCGAAGCAAAATAATTTGAAACGAATGTGCGCGGCGTTAAGGCAGAAGCTTCACTTTGAAAACCGTCCGCCTTCCCACCGTGAAGCTCTTGCGTCGAGTGCGCGCGGCGCTGAGCGTTAAGGCGGGAGCAACATCTTGAAAACCGCCCGCCCTCCATTCGCGAATCTCTTGCAAACTTTCAAGACGAATGCGCGCGGCGCCAAGGCGATGACCACATTGTGATAACCACCCGCGCTCCATCCATGAAGCTGTTGTAAATTCTAAGCTTAAGGCTCATACGTGCTGCGGAAGTTTCAGGTGAAACGCCTGGCCCGCCTCACGGACAAGCCTCGGGGTGCGACAGGGATGAGTTGCTTGTAAGGGGAATCGCTGAAGTGTGGACGGAGGAGGGAGAGAGCAAGAGAGACAGGCAGACAGACAGACAGACAGACAGACAGACAGACAGATAGGCAGGCAGGCAGGCAGGCAGGCAGGCAGGCAAGCAGGCAGGCAGGCAGGCAGACAGACAGACAGACAAACAGACTTGCGGAGGCAGTCTGCCCACAACACAAGAGCATTTTAACAAGGAAGCTAGCAAGCCCGCGCCGGCAGGCGGGTTGTGCCGCTACTGGCGCCCACCCTAGGCGAAATCCCGTACGGGAGGGGAGGAAGAGGAGGAGGAGGAGGAGGAGGAGCAGGAGCAGGAGCAGGAGGAGCAGGAGGACGAAGAGGAGGACGAGGAGGAGGACGAGGAGGAGGACGAGGAGGAGGAGGAGGAGGAGGGAGATGAGAGGAGTTTCCCCAGGGGGCGGGAGCTGCCCGCCACCGAGCCCACGCCCCAGCGGCGCGCAGCGGCGCGGCGCCCGCCGCGCGCCGCCCTCCCCGCCCCTGGCCGGCGCAGGTGCCGCGCCGCCGCCGCCACGTCGCCCGCTTTCGCCTCGGCGCAAAAGCCCGCGGCAGCGCGCAGCTGGCGCGCAGGCTTAGGTCGGGCCTGTCCCCCTACAGGGGGATTTTCGACGAACAAATAAAAGATACTCCACAAGTAGTCAAACAAAAATCGTCTGGGGACTATTTTGGGTGGTATTTCTTGGCCTTCTTGGGGCATTTGGGGGGTATGTTTTATGTTTCGTCGAACATCTCCCTGTAGGGGGACACGCCCGACATGCAGCTGGCGCGCAGGCTCGCCCTGCAGGCCGCAATCGAGCACGCGGTGCGCGCGGGCGAGCCCGCGGGCCTGCCCCGCGTCGGGCGGGCGGCCCGCCTCTGCTCGGAGCCAGGGGCGCGCGCCTCGCCCCCGAGCCGCTGCCCCCGCCTCGAGGGCGAGGGAGGCGAAGTCCTCTCCGGGCTAGCGAGCGTGCTCGTCTGGCTCCCCGCGCCGTCTCGCCTCGCCGTCGCGGCGGGCCGCGACCCGCTGCTCCGCCGCGGAAGAGAGAGAGAGAGAGAGAGCGAGAGAGAGACCAACGAAACAAGTAAGGGCGAGAGGGAGTGGGAGGAGAGCGGTGGCGGAGGAGGGCGAGGAAGGGGGAAGGAGGGAGGAGGGATGGGGAGGAAGAGGTGGAAGGAGAAGGAGGAGGAGACTGGAGATCATGGATTCAGACTTTTAGTCCCCCTCGTCGTCCTCATCCGCTTCGCTTCCCCTTCCGCCGCCCTTCCCTCCCTGTGGGTATTCCCTCGGCCTTCCCATGCCGCGCCGCACCAGGGGCATGCTGGCGGCGCAGGAGGAGGCGAAGCAGCTGCCGCCGGGTAGGCAAGCGCTGCCAAGCCCAGCGAGCGCCTGAGGATGGAGGCTTCTCGCATCCTGCTCCTCGAGGTCCGCGTAGATGTCTTGGTTCCCACTCCTCTTCTGCATACACATACACTTCTGGAGGCCCGCGTGGATGTCTTGGTCGGCGATGGACACCATCGGCGGCGCCTCCTGCGCCGCCCTGGCGCACTTCATTCGGCAGGGAAGGGGAGTTCCAGTGCCGACCCAAGAGATCCGCACGGACCTCCAAAAGCAGAGTGAGATGTGTGCATGCGTACAGATGTGTTTATGCATGTATGTTTATATGCATGGCTTTTGTGTGAACGCATACACGCATCTATTGTTTATGCGATTATGTATTATCAGGTATGTCTATATTCAGTCATATTGTTTTATGTATGTAGGTATGAAAGAACGCGTTCTGTGGTCGCTTGTGGGGCTGGCGCATGCGTCGGCGGCGGCTGGCGGCGGCGGTAGGGACGACGATTTCCTTTTCTGGGCCGGCGACGGCGCCTGCGGCGGCGGGCGGCGGCCGCGGGAAGCGTCGACGTGGACGACGGTGGTTGTGCTGGTGGTGCTGGGTTGTTGTGATGGTGGTGGCAATGGTGGTGGTTGTTGTGGTGGTGGTGGTGGTGTGGTTGTTTGTTGTGGTGATGGTGCTTGTGGTGGTGTGTGGTGGTGGTGGTGGTGGTGGTGGTGGTGGTGGTGGTGGTGGTGGTGGTGGTGGTGGTGGTGGTGGTGGTGTTTTGGTGGTGGTGTGGTGTTGGTTTGTGGCGGTGGTGGTGGGTTGTGGTGGTGGTGGTTTGGTGCTGGTTGTGTGGTGGTTTGTAGTGGTGCTGGTGGTGGTGGTGGTGGGTTGGGGTGGTGGCGGTGGTTTGTGGAGGTGGTCCTGGTGGTGGTGGTGGTGCCACTGGTGGTGGTGGTGGTTGTTTTTGGTGGTGCTTTGTGGTGGTGGTGGGTTGTGCTGCTGGTAATGGTGGTGGTAGTGGCAGTGGTGGTGGTGGTGTGGTAGATTGTGGTGGTGGTGGTGGTAGTGGTGGTACGTTTTTGTGGCGGTGGTGGTTGTAATGGTGATTTGTGGTGGTGGTGGTGTTTGTGGTGGCTGTGGTGGTGGTGCGGTGGTGGTTTGTGGTGGTGGTTTGTGGTGGTGGTGGTGGTTGTGGTGGTGGGTTGTGGTGGTGGCGGTGGTTTGTGGAGGTGGTGCTGGTGGTAGTGGTGGTGGCGGTGGTGGTGGTGGGTTTTGCTGCTGGTAGTGGTGGTGGTTGTGGCGCTATTGGTGGTGGTGTGGTAGATTGTGGTGGTGGCGGTAGTGGTAGTGGTAGTGTGTTTTTGAAGTGGTGGTTGTGGTTGTGATGGTGAGTTGTGGTGGTGGCGGTTGTGGTGGTGGTGGCGGTGGCTGTGGTGGTGGTGTTGGTGGTTGTGTGGTGGGTTGGTGGTGGTGGTGGTGGGTTGAGGCGGTGGTGGTGGTGGTAACTAGTGGTGGTGGTTGTGGTAGTGGTGTTAATCGTCGCTGCGTCCCCGCCGGCGCAGGCGCCGGCGCTGCTGGGCGCCGCCAGCGCCGGCGCCAGGGGGGGCATCAAAACCCTTCCCCGCGTGCTAGCGGGGGGGGGTTCAACCCCCTCCCCCCCTCCTTTGAGCTGCCTCTGGTCATCGTCGCTGCCTCCCCGCCGTCGGCGCCGCCAGCGCCAGCGCCGGCGCCGAGGGGGGGGGGCTTGAACCCCCCTCCCACCCCCCCCTTCCTTGGGAGGGGGGCGGGAGGGGGTTCGGGACGGGGGGGTGTGGGGGGAGGGGAGCCCCCCTGTTTTTGATCGACGGCGCCGAACGTTCCCAAGGCAAGCGCCCGTGAAACGCGTTCTCTCGTGGGTACGTATGTATGAAAGGGCGCGTTTCGCGGTCGCTTGGAGGTGGGGGGGCTTGGAACCGAACCCCCCCCCTCCCGTGACAGGGAGGGGGGGGTTCGAACCCCCCCCTCCCTCTTGTACCTCTCCTTTCCCTTTCCTCGGGCCAGCGCCTGCGTCGGCGGCGGCTGGCGGCGGCGGCGGCGGGGACGACGATTTTTTTTTCTGGGCCTGCGCCGGCGCCTGCGGCGGCAGGCGGCGGCGGCGGGGAGCGTCGACGAGGACGACGGTGGTGGTGGTGGTGGTGGTGGTGGTGGGTTGTGGTGGTGGTGGCGGTGGTGGTGGTTGTGGTGATGGTGGTGTGGTGGTTTGTTGTGGTGGTGGTGGTTGTGGTGGTGGTGGTGTGTTGGTGGTGGTGTGGTGGTGGTTTGACGGGGTGCAGGTGGTGGTGGTGGTGGTTTGGTGGTGGTGTGGTGGTGGTGGTTGTGGTAGTGGTGGTGGGTTGTGGTGGTGGCGGTGGTTTGTGGAGGCGGTGCTTGTGGTGGTGGTGGCGGCGGTGGTGGTGGTGTGGTGGTGGTGGTGGTGGGTTGTGCTGCTGTTAGTGGTGGTGGTTGTGGCTGTGGTGGTGGTGGCGTGGTAGACTGGTGGTGGTGGTGGTAGTGGTGGTCGGTTTTTGCGGGTGCGGTGGTGATGGTGAGTTGTGGCGGTGGTAGTTGTGATGGTGGTGGTGGTGGTGGCTGTGGTGGTGGTGGTTGTGTGGTGGGTTGGTGGTGGTGGTGGTGGTGGGCTGAGGCGGCGGTGGTGGTGGTTGTGGCGGTGGTGGTGGTAGTGGTGTTTATCGTTGCTGCGTCCACGCCGTCGCTGGCGCCAACGCCGGCGCTGCTGGGCGCCGCCAGTGCCGGCGCCAGAGGGGGGGGGGGGGTGAACCCCCCCCCCCATCTCGGCGCCATGGGGGGGCGGGGGGGGGGTTTGAACCCCCCCCCCTTCCCCCCTTGAACTACCTCTGGTCATCGTCGCTGCGTCCCCGCCGTCGGCGCTGCTGGCGGCCGCCGGTGCCGGCGCCGATGGGGGGGGGATTTGAACCCCCCCCCGAGGGGGGGGGTGGGGGGGAGGGGGGCCCCCTGGTCTTGATCGACGGCGCCGAGTGTGTTGGGGCGGGGTCCCAGTCCCCGGTTCGAAACGCGCCGCCGAATGTTCCCAAGGCAAGCGCCCGTAGGTATGCATGTACGTAAGTGCTTTGGTATGTGCTTGTGTATTTCTTATACACTGATTGGTTGAATTCATTGAAGTGGGCATGCATGTATGTATGTATGTATGTAGTATGTATTAATTCGCGTGATGTAACCATGCATGCATTAATGTATTCACTGTGCGACATGTGTACGCGAGTTTGTTTATTGCGCAATCGTAGTGTCGGTACGTACGCATTCCCGTAAATAGTATTATGTGTATATGGACTTGTGCATATACCTATGTATTCACTTATCTTGTTTCGCTATTTGATATTAGTTATGCATGTTCGCAGGCCTCGAACAAGAGGTTTCTGGGCCCGGGGAAGTGGCATGATCGCAGGCCTAGATGTTGACACCAACACCAATATCGGCGGTGTGCCTCCTCCGAGGGAAGAAGATCCCGATCTCGGTGATAGTGGTAATGTTCAGGCTTCCAAGGTGACCGAAATACTACCACCAACGCCGAAATCGAGGATCATATCCCGCCAGTGGAGGCACACCGCCGATCTTGGTGCTGGTGCCCATTTCCAGGCCTTCAACATGACGCAGCGGGAGGTGCGACCGCAGGGCGGGGGGCTGCACGCAGAGCGGCAGCCCTGGCAGGGTCGGCCCTGCACGCGGCCGCCACGAGCGCGACGCAGGAGACGCGGGCGCGGCGGGCCTCGCTCGCGCGAGCGCCGTGCGCCAGCCCGCGAGAGGGGCGAAGCGCGCGGGAGGCGGGCCCGCAGCGGGGACGCCCCAGCACGAAGGAAAGGTCAGACGCGCACGCGCGAGTCCCAGGCAGGCTTCTCCTTCTCCTCCTCCTCCTCCTCCTCCTCCTCCTCGTCGTCCTCCTCCTCCTCCTCCTCCTCCTTCCACTCTCTTTCTTCTCCTCCTCTTCCTCCTCCTCCTCCTCCTCCTCCTCCTCCTCCTCCTCCTCCTCCTCCTCATGTTTCTCCTCCTCCCCTGCTTCGAGCTCCGCAGGGAGGCGCAGCGGAGCCCATCCGAGGAAGCGAGCGGAGGCGACCCGGCGAGCGGGCCGAAGGGCTGCCGCGTGCGGGCGGGCGCGCGCGGCGGGAGCGGGCCATCGCAGGCCCTCTCGTCTGGGCAGGGGCGACGCATGGGGGAAGGGGCTCCTCCTCCTTCTCCACCTCCTCATCCGCCTCCTCCTCCTCCTCCTCCTCCTCCTCCTCCTCCTCCTCCTCCTCCTCCTCCTCCTCCTCCTCCTCCTCCTCCTCCTCCTGCGTGGGGTGGCGCGCCCTCGCGGGCGAGGAGCCGCATCCGAGATCCGCGGCCTCGCGGTGTGCGCGGCCCACGGGCCGCGCGAACACCGCGGACGTGGGGCGCTGCGTTGGGGGAGGCCCCCGCGCGGAGCGTATAGTCTTGCGGCCACGTCTCACAACGGGAGCGCGCCCCGGAAGCCCGACAGGCGAGGGCGCGGCTGCGGGATGGCTTCGCCGCTCGTGGTGTCCGACCTTTTCTCTGCCCTGCGCAGCACTGCAGGCACAGGGGGGGGGCGGGGCACGGAGGCGGAGCGCAGGAGGAGGGGGCGCTGTCCGTGGCCAGCCGCTGCTCGCGACGTCGAGCGGGGCGGCCCACCCGACGAGCAACGGCCGGAGAGGCGTCCGGAGAGACTGCTGGCTCGCCAGCGTCAGCTACCTGGCGACCGCGGGAGAAACACTCTTTTGGGATGCCACCGGGTGATTTGCCGAGACAGCGCGTGCATCGTTTTGAACGCCCGAAATGGGTACGGAAAGAATGGGTACGATGTCCAACAGCAGTTCCTGTTCATTCTGAACAGGACTCGCTGTCCGCGCCGCCGCGGCCTGTGTCCATTCGAGACAGAAGGCCGCCTGCCCAACAGCGGCCGCTGATGGTTTGGGACAACATTTGTGCTTGGGCATGGTACCCATTCTTTCCGTGCCCATTTCGGGCGTCCAAACAAGAGGAGGAGGAGGAGGAGGAGGAGGAGGAGGAGGAGGAGG